TATCGCTTTAGGAGGACATGTTATATTCTGTTTCTTTAAGTCTCAAATCTTATGTCCTAAACTAATAAGGCAGATTTGAACTTTATCGCTTTAGGAGGACATGTTATATTCTGTTTCTTTAAGTCTCAAATCTTATGTCATAAACTAATAAGGCAGATTTGAACTTTATCGCTTTAGGAGGACATGTTATATTCTGTTTCTTTAAGTCTCAAATCTTATGTCATAAACTAATAAGGCAGATTTGAACTTTATCGCTTTAGGAGGACATGTTATATTCTGTTTCTTTAAGTCTCAAATCTTATGTCCTAAACTAAGGCAGATTTGAACTTTATCGCTTTAGGAGGACATGTTATATTCTTTTTCTTTAAGTCTCAAATCTTATGTCCTAAACTAATAAGGCAGATTTGAACTTTATCGCTTTAGGAGGACATGTTATATTCTGTTTCTTTAAGTCTCAAATCTTATGTCCTAAACTAATAAGGCAGATTTGAACTTTATCGCTTTAGGATGACATGTTATATTCTGTTTCTTTAAGTCTCAAATCTTATGTCCTAAACTAAGGCAGATTTGAACTTTATCGCTTTAGGAGGACATGTTATATTCTGTTTCTTTAAGTCTCAAATCTTATGTCATAAACTAATAAGGCAGATTTGAACTTTATCGCTTTAGGAGGACATGTTATATTCTGTTTCTTTAAGTCTCAAATCTTATGTCATAAACTAATAAGGCAGATTTGAACTTTATCGCTTTAGGAGGACATGTTATATTCTGTTTCTTTAAGTCTCAAATCTTATGTCCTAAACTAAGGCAGATTTGAACTTTATCGCTTTAGGAGGACATGTTATATTCTGTTTCTTTAAGTCTCAAATCTTATGTCATAAACTAATAAGGCAGATTTGAACTTTATCGCTTTAGGAGGACATGTTATATTCTGTTTCTTTAAGTCTCAAATCTTATGTCCTAAACTAAGGCAGATTTGAACTTTATCGCTTTAGGAGGACATGTTATATTCTGTTTCTTTAAGTCTCAAATCTTATGTCCTAAACTAAGGCAGATTTGAACTTTATCGCTTTAGGAGGACATGTTATATTCTGTTTCTTTAAGTCTCAAATCTTATGTCCTAAACTAATAAGGCAGATTTGAACTTTATCGCTTTAGGAGGACATGTTATATTCTGTTTCTTTAAGTCTCAAATCTTATGTCATAAACTAATAAGGCAGATTTGAACTTTATCGCTTTAGGAGGACATGTTATATTCTGTTTCTTTAAGTCTCAAATCTTATGTCCTAAACTAATAAGGCAGATTTGAACTTTATCGCTTTAGGAGGACATGTTATATTCTGTTTCTTTAAGTCTCAAATCTTATGTCCTAAACTAATAAGGCAGATTTGAACTTTATCGCTTTAGGAGGACATGTTATATTCTGTTTCTTTAAGTCTCAAATCTTATGTCATAAACTAATAAGGCAGATTTGAACTTTATCGCTTTAGGAGGACATGTTATATTCTGTTTCTTTAAGTCTCAAATCTTATGTCCTAAACTAAGGCAGATTTGAACTTTATCGCTTTAGGAGGACATGTTATATTCTGTTTCTTTAAGTCTCAAATCTTATGTCCTAAACTAAGGCAGATTTGAACTTTATCGCTTTAGGAGGACATGTTATATTCTGTTTCTTTAAGTCTCAAATCTTATGTCATAAACTAATAAGGCAGATTTGAACTTTATCGATTTAGGAGGACATGTTATATTCTGTTTCTTTAAGACTCAAATCTTATGTCCTAAACTAATAAGGCAGATTTGAACTTTATCGCTTTAGGAGGACATGTTATATTCTGTTTCTTTAAGTCTCAAATCTTATGTCCTAAACTAATAAGGCAGATTTGAACTTTATCGCTTTAGGAGGACATGTTATATTCTGTTTCTTTAAGTCTCAAATCTTATGTCCTAAACTAATAAGGCAGATTTGAACTTTATCGCTTTAGGAGGACATGTTATATTCTGTTTCTTTAAGTCTCAAATCTTATGTCATAAACTAATAAGGCAGATTTGAACTTTATCGCTTTAGGAGGACATGTTATATTCTGTTTCTTTAAGTCTCAAATCTTATGTCCTAAACTAAGGCAGATTTGAACTTTATCGCTTTAGGAGGACATGTTATATTCTGTTTCTTTAAGTCTCAAATCTTATGTCCTAAACTAAGGCAGATTTGAACTTTATCGCTTTAGGAGGACATGTTATATTCTGTTTCTTTAAGTCTCAAATCTTATGTCATAAACTAATAAGGCAGATTTGAACTTTATCGCTTTAGGAGGACATGTTATATTCTGTTTCTTTAAGTCTCAAATCTTATGTCATAAACTAATAAGGCAGATTTGAACTTTATCGCTTTAGGAGGACATGTTATATTCTGTTTCTTTAAGTCTCAAATCTTATGTCCTAAACTAAGGCAGATTTGAACTTTATCGCTTTAGGAGGACATGTTATATTCTGTTTCTTTAAGTCTCAAATCTTATGTCCTAAACTAAGGCAGATTTGAACTTTATCGCTTTAGGAGGACATGTTATATTCTGTTTCTTTAAGTCTCAAATCTTATGTCCTAAACTAAGGCAGATTTGAACTTTATCGCTTTAGGAGGACATGTTATATTCTGTTTCTTTAAGTCTCAAATCTTATGTCCTAAACTAATAAGGCAGATTTGAACTTTATAGCTTTAGGAGGACATGTTATATTCTCTTTCTTTAAGTCTCAAATCTTATGTCCTAAACTAATAAGGCAGATTTGAACTTTATCGCTTTAGGAGGACATGTTATATTCTGTTTCTTTAAGACTCAAATCTTATGTCCTAAACTAATAAGGCAGATTTGAACTTTATCGCTTTAGGAGGACATGTTATATTCTGTTTCTTTAAGACTCAAATCTTATGTCCTAAACTAATAAGGCAGATTTGAACTTTATCGCTTTAGGAGGACATGTTATATTCTGTTTCTTTAAGTCTCAAATCTTATGTCCTAAACTAAGGCAGATTTGAACTTTATCGCTTTAGGAGGACATGTTATATTCTGTTTCTTTAAGTCTCAAATCTTATGTCATAAACTAATAAGGCAGATTTGAACTTTATCGCTTTAGGAGGACATGTTATATTCTGTTTCTTTAAGTCTCAAATCTTATGTCATAAACTAATAAGGCAGATTTGAACTTTATCGCTTTAGGAGGACATGTTATATTCTGTTTCTTTAAGTCTCAAATCTTATGTCCTAAACTAAGGCAGATTTGAACTTTATCGCTTTAGGAGGACATGTTATATTCTGTTTCTTTAAGTCTCAAATCTTATGTCCTAAACTAAGGCAGATTTGAACTTTATCGCTTTAGGAGGACATGTTATATTCTGTTTCTTTAAGTCTCAAATCTTATGTCCTAAACTAAGGCAGATTTGAACTTTATCGCTTTAGGAGGACATGTTATATTCTGTTTCTTTAAGTCTCAAATCTTATGTCCTAAACTAATAAGGCAGATTTGAACTTTATAGCTTTAGGAGGACATGTTATATTCTCTTTCTTTAAGTCTCAAATCTTATGTCCTAAACTAATAAGGCAGATTTGAACTTTATCGCTTTAGGAGGACATGTTATATTCTGTTTCTTTAAGACTCAAATCTTATGTCCTAAACTAATAAGGCAGATTTGAACTTTATCGCTTTAGGAGGACATGTTATATTCTGTTTCTTTAAGACTCAAATCTTATGTCCTAAACTAATAAGGCAGATTTGAACTTTATCGCTTTAGGAGGACATGTTATATTCTGTTTCTTTAAGTCTCAAATCTTATGTCCTAAACTAATAAGGCAGATTTGAACTTTATCGCTTTAGGAGGACATGTTATATTCTGTTTCTTTAAGTCTCAAATCTTATGTCCTAAACTAATAAGGCAGATTTGAACTTTATCGCTTTAGGAGGACATGTTATATTCTGTTTCTTTAAGTCTCAAATCTTATGTCCTAAACTAATAAGGCAGATTTGAACTTTATCGCTTTAGGAGGACATGTTATATTCTGTTTCTTTAAGTCTCAAATCTTATGTCCTAAACTAATAAGGCAGATTTGAACTTTATCGCTTTAGGAGGACATGTTATATTCTGTTTCTTTAAGTCTGTCAAGTAAAAGTTAAAACCTACTTTTATCGACAAAAGAATAAAAAATAAATAATAAATATTTATTTTAAAGAAATAAAATACAATCTGAAAATAAAAATATTTTTAAAAGGATTTTAATGAACGTCTTGGCGTTCGGGAAAAATGAACAATTAGATGTTATGTGTGGATATTTGCCTATTGTTTATATAGGGCCCCATCCGCGATATAGTTAAAGAAAGAATGTGAAAAATAGTATGGAAAGTAAAGAAAAAGATATGTTTCTCTAACTATATCCGGTGGATTGAGAGGTCAAAGTGTTTGCCTATGGGAAAGAAAATGCATGGAAATTTCTGTCCATGACAGATAAAAATATAAAATTTAATAAATTATTTATAATTTAATTATTCGTGTATTTTTACACGACACTGCCCGCCAAGCGAAGTCGTGTATTTTTCTTCCTCCTCCTTTTCTTCTTTAATTTTCTTCAAAATTGTATGCATCATGATGTCTTCCGATTTATTTTCATCTATCTTCTTGCCTGCAAGTGTGAGTATAAGTTTTAAAAATCTTCCTAGTCTCGTGTTTTTTATGTGTTTGAATAGGAATGGGAGAAAGCTATCAAAAAGCCAAATATATGTTATATACGTAGCGACTGCTCTCATCCAAAGTTTTTCTAGGTTTATTGTCCAGATGTAATTGAATAGGTCTAATAATGGATTTTTAATTGTCTCTTCTGTATAGTGTATGTATTCTTTATTGTTTAAGGCTTTTTGTATTTTTTCTTGTTCGAACTTTCTGTCAATACTATATGTTTGGAACATTTGTAAAATCTCTATTCTAGGGTCGGTGTAATTTTTTATGATCAAGTTATGAAATGCATGTGTTTCTATTATTGGATTGTTCACATCTTGTTGACTATTTAATGTTAGGTCATGAATCTGTTCTTCTAAAATTTCTTTACTTTTTCCGGTTTTTTGGTTTATTGTTATTAATTTATTCTCAATAAATATTGTGGTGAATTGTGTTTCTGAGCATAATGTTTCTGAAGAATTTTCCTTTATTATTAATGTATAGGGTTCAAGAAATCCTTTTATTTGTGTATCTTTTATTGTAATGTTTATGCTGATGTCTGTATAGCATTTTGAATTTCCTAAGTATGTTATATTTTCTACTGGTATTGGGAGGCAAGTCTTTGTTTCTAGTATTTCTTTCGATATCCATTTTCCTTTTATATATGGGGTGTTCATTAAAATTCTAGCTACTACATTTGCATTAATTCCCGAAATTATTTCGCTCTGAAAAGTATTTATATCTCGCGCACAAAGTATATTTGCCATATGATTGAGGACTTTTCTTATTTTCTCGGTTGTAAGTGTTTCACTAGCTGTGAGTTCTGCTGCTAATTGGTTAGACATAATTATTCCTGTTTGTATTTTTTCGTTTTCCCTTTTCTTTCTTTTTATCTTTTTCATATTGAATATCTGGTATTGTGGCGATGGGACTGCATATCCTTGTTCGCTTAATATGAGTTCTCTTTGACAATCAGTTATTTTTGTAGGATTATTTGCAAATGAAAGACCTATTTCCTTATTCTCAGCTAACCAAATTTTACCCATCCATGTTCCTTTCCACTTTCTAATTTTTGAAAATTTACACAACTTTTCGTTAATTTCTTTACTGATCTCCCATATAATTAATGAATCATCTTCTAGTAAGCATGCCTTATTTTCATATTTACAATGAGAGATGTCTATTCCTGGTGAGAATATTATCGATGAGTCCGGTTTTACATAGATGCTTATATTACTCAAAAAACAATTTAATTCACTTGTTTCTTTGTACATTCTTCGACACTAACCTCATCTCTCCAAGTTGTTACAATAATATGTGGGTTATTTATTAAATCTGTCTTAAATTTATATTTGGTACCTAGCATCGAACAGTGAGCTGCTGGTATTTGTACTAAATCTATGTTGGGTTGATATATATCAAAATTATGTGTTATTGGTACCAAAGGATCCTTTGTAAAATTTATACAAGGTCGGTGATTTTCTTTTATTCGCCAATACATTTTGTTTTGCTCTGGGCATAACATTGGTGATTGTAGGAAGCTTCCTGGTATAATCATAGCAAGAATTAAACATAGAAGTATTGTATTTGTAAATGCTTTTTTGATTTGCATGATTTTACTATGAAAATTCTGTTCTTTAAAAATACTATCTTCATTTACTGGACTTTCGCTACTACGAAGGTGATCTGGTGGTCTATCCAACGTTTTTCCCTTCCTCATTTTAACTTTTATCGATCGATTATTTCTATTTTCTATTACTTTTCCAATTTTCAAACATCCGTTTTGTAATGTCTCATCATGTATTTGGACTACTCCAGTATATGGATGTCCTTTTGGATTTTTTGGTTTTGGCCTTTTTGAATATTTTTTCGAAGTGGCATTAACTCGATAAGTTCTGATGTCAACATTTGTTTTTACTGCATTTTTAAGATCTAACTGCTCTGACCAAGGATCTTGTAAATTTCCAACGGGTGATTTGTCAATTATTTCTATTGGACCAACTTTAGTACGAAGTAGAAAGCGCTGTTCTCTTAATTTTTCTACACTTTCTAGAATATTTAAAACGTCGGCTAAACCTAATAATATGTCTGGAGTGCATTTCTTTACATTTATTTCGTTTTTTTCGTACAACCAAAAATCTCTTTGACTAGAAGGACAATAAATTTTCATTTGATCTAGATTGGGTGTAGTAAATCCCTCTATCATTAAATTAGATCCATCTTTTAATTTCATTTCGAATTTAATACGTGTAGAAATAAATCTTGATTTTCGACCGCCATATGCATCAATTTCAACTTCAGTTTTATGTTTGGGGTCTGAGTTTAAAAGTCCTAATTTTTTAGCAAAACTTTCGCTAATTAATGTACAAGTAGCGCCTGGGTCCATTAATGTCCGTCCTATGATTGTTTCTTGATTGCTTAAATACTCTATATTCTTTGTGATTAATATTGTTTTAATTTTTTCTCCTTTTAATGCGAATGTATTGATTTCTTCTTTTACATTTTTGCCTGCATTAATTTTAGTTAATTCGATGAAGTCGGTTATACACATTGAATCTTCATCAGAAAAGTCTGGCTCTTTTGTTTTATTAATCCTAAGATTATCGGTTATATTTTGTACAATTTCTTTATTAGTCACTTTCGCACATACAGCTAGGTAATGAGGTTGAGAGCAGTTTTTGCATCTTATTTTATCGTTTTTACAGAATTTTATGATATGACCCTTCTCAAAGCATTTTAGACACTTTCCTAATTCTTTTAGTCGTTGGATCCTAGCTTCCCAGTTACCATAGTTTCTACACTGCATCGAGCTATGGCTTGTTAATTCACAAAATGCGCACGGTCTTTTAGGTCTATCTAGATCATTCGCGTATTGGTTTATTTCGGGCCTTGTATTTTGCCTTTGTTCTCTCCAGCCTGTATTTCTATTAGGTTCAATAATTTGAGTAAATACATTGTGATTTCTGATTGGTGGTTGTCTATAAACTGATGAATTTTGATTAGTTTGCCCATATACCGCTTCTTTTATTTTTAAATGCCTATCGATTGAATCTAATAATTTTTCTACGGTCCAATTAGATGGATTTCTATTTTGTTCCTCCATAATAATACAACTAACCCAGCCTCCGAATTTATTTTCTATTTGTTGTATTAACGCTCCATTATCTATATCTTCTCCTATAGCCTTTAATTGTTGTGTAACTCGGTTAATACTAATCCAATTACTTCTAACATCATCTAATTTTGAGGCGCGAGGGCAAAGTTTATTTAATTCATTGTATAATTCTCTTTTGATGGTGTGATTTTCCCCGAATCGCTTCTTTAAATGATTCAAAACGAGCGGATAGTTGACTGCTGTAACCGCGTATCCGCTAACCTCGTTATATGGATGTGGGCGGTGAAGAGAAGCTAGTAAATACGTCAATTTTTCCGAGTCATCTAAATTATTATTTTTATCGATCGAGATTTCAAAGAGGCTCCAGAAACTTGGCCAATCGCTAGATTTTCCGCTGAAGTTAGGGAGATTACAGATTGGAAGCCTAATCGAATTTGAATGTGCGACGGTCATGTTGGACGAGCTTTCGTTGTAGGAAGTACTTTTGAATTCCCCGAGATTTGCTTCCAATTCACAACTTAAATCCCTAGCTAATTCTATTAAGGCGATGAATCCGTTCTCGTCCTCTGCATAACTATTGTAATCTTTTAACATCTCTTCTCTCCTTTCTAGCGATTCTAAACTTATAAGCTTTGCCCACTCCGTATTAATCTGTTCTAGTACCTCAACTGCCTTTGAAAGTTTCAATTGATATCCTTTTAAATTTGTCGCGTTTTCCTGGGAAATTCCATTATTTAACAAATCCCTAACTGTATTTATGTAGCTTATTGTTCGTTTCTTGAGTGGTCCAAGTCTCATTTTTAAAGGTCCGGCAAAGATTCGAGTACTCATTTTTCAATAGCAGCCTAGGTAATTCAAGCTCTGCTAATACAAGAAATTTCTGATGTGTTCAAAAAGCTCGTAAACAATTGTATTATTTGAAGTGTATTTCGAATGAATTAAACAATGGTTTCTTTATTTTTAATCTCAACAAGTTAGGTAGTTGTTTAAAATACTGATTTGATTATAAGAATTCAAAATTTTTTAAAATAATTTGTTTATTATTATTTGTTGTTGTTTGTACTGTAATTGGTTTGTTTATTGTTTGTTGCGGTTCAGGGAGTGTTTTGAAGACGAATTTCCACTTGTAGTTTTGGCTTGGGCCTTGTGTTGAAAGAATAAACAAGTGCAATTGGTTTCCGGAATGTCGGAGCTGGGCCGATCCAGAATTTGCTTTAGCACTGTTTTGTTGAGTTCTGAAGTTGTAGAAAATTCGCCTCTCCCGGAGCACCACTTTTTTGTTGGTGGTTCCTCGTCAGAGCTAGTGGCTGACAAATCCAATTCCTCCAATAAAGTATTTTTAGAAATAAGTTGTTTATTATTTGGAGCAGAAACGTAGCTGGTAGATTTATTTGTCGTTTTAGAAGAGTATTTGTTTGTGCTGGTTGAATTTGAGCTTGAAGAAGCGCCAGCAGTAACTGTTGACAAATTTTTAATTGTTGAAGTTTTTGTTGTTTTAATTGTATTGCAGTAGAGGCAATCACAACCCGGTTTGTCAACGTGTTGTTTTTTTGCAGCCAAAATAATTTGTTGGACCACAGCGGGGTCGAGTTGATCGGACACTGAAATTAAAATATTGAGTTGCCTCTCCCGGAGCACCACTTTTTTGTCAAGTAAAAGTTAAAACCTACTTTTATCGACAAAAGAATAAAAAATAAATAATAAATATTTATTTTAAAGAAATAAAATACAATCTGAAAATAAAAATATTTTTAAAAGGATTTTAAAGAACGTCTTGGCGTTCGGGAAAAATGAACAATTAGATGTTATGTGTGGATATTTGCCTATTGTTTATATAGGGCCCCATCCGCGATATAGTTAAAGAAAGAATGTGAAAAATAGTATGGAAAGTAAAGAAAAAGATATGTTTCTCTAACTATATCCGGTGGATTGAGAGGTCAAAGTGTTTGCCTATGGGAAAGAAAATGCATGGAAATTTCTGTCCATGACAGATAAAAATATAAAATTTAATAAATTATTTATAATTTAATTATTCGTGTATTTTTACACGACAAAGTCTCAAATCTTATGTCCTAAACTAATAAGGCAGATTTGAACTTTATCGCTTTAGGAGGACATGTTATATTCTGTTTCTTTAAGTCTCAAATCTTATGTCCTAAACTAAGGCAGATTTGAACTTTATCGCTTTAGGAGGACATGTTATATTCTGTTTCTTTAAGTCTCAAATCTTATGTCCTAAACTAATAAGGCAGATTTGAACTTTATCGCTTTAGGAGGACATGTTATATTCTGTTTCTTTAAGTCTCAAATCTTATGTCCTAAACTAATAAGGCAGATTTGAACTTTATCGCTTTAGGAGGACATGTTATATTCTGTTTCTTTAAGTCTCAAATCTTATGTCCTAAACTAATAAGGCAGATTTGAACTTTATCGCTTTAGGAGGACATGTTATATTCTGTTTCTTTAAGTCTCAAATCTTATGTCCTAAACTAATAAGGCAGATTTGAACTTTATCGCTTTAGGAGGACATGTTATATTCTGTTTCTTTAAGTCTCAAATCTTATGTCCTAAACTAATAAGGCAGATTTGAACTTTATCGCTTTAGGAGGACATGTTATATTCTGTTTCTTTAAGTCTCAAATCTTATGTCCTAAACTAATAAGGCAGATTTGAACTTTATCGCTTTAGGAGGACATGTTATATTCTGTTTCTTTAAGTCTCAAATCTTATGTCCTAAACTAATAAGGCAGATTTGAACTTTATCGCTTTAGGAGGACATGTTATATTCTGTTTCTTTAAGTCTCAAATCTTATGTCCTAAACTAATAAGGCAGATTT